GTCCGCGTTCGACCTGAACGGCCGAAAGGCCTCCCGAAGGGATCCCGTACGTTCGGGCGTTCGGGTTCGGGCGTTCGGCCCGTCCCGAACACCGGTAACCCTGTATATATGTATATATATATATATATTGGCGGGGGCCGCTGTCGCGTTCGGACCCCGTATATATATATATATATATATATATATATATATATATATATATTGTCAAATAGAATATATAAATTTTTTCCGGGGACAAGCACGTGACAATATTCGTTGTGTATAAAAATAAACTAAAGGACAAAAAAAAAGTAAATAAAAAGATTAACAATATTGCATGGACATATGTATGAATTTTGGCACCGGCATCTTCGACGTTTTTTCAGTCGTTTTTTTGTTTCGCCTATCAAAAATAAAAATAATGAAAAATATATGTGTGTGCATTGTGCAGAAAAAAAAAAAAATGTTCATGAAAATTATGCATTTTTCGTGGGGCGACATAAAGAGACAACAAAAATGTGAATAAATATAGCCGAAAAAAACAACATAAACAAAACAATCCCAAAAAAATAGGGGGGAAAAAAACAAACGGATAAACTGCAATGTTCGACGATTTTTCATTGCTGTTTCGCACCACCATCTTCGGGGGAAGGTGCCTCTGTTATTTGTTATTGGGCCTACTATTATATGCTGCTTTGTTTTCGTAAGGTGTTGGAACAAAGCTTGTGATCCGTTAAACTATGCCTCCGCGTGTGCAGGTGCATTGGGGGTTTCCCGCATCGCGCTGTGTAGTCTGAACATGGAACGCCAACACTCTCCTGCGGCTGCGCCGACGTCGCCGAGTTCCCCGTTGCTTCCAACTCCTGCGGCGTTCGCATCGCCGTCCGCCACACGCACCTTCCTGGCAGGCTCTCCATTGTACCACGACATTTCGCGCGCAAGGGCTTTTGGATCCGCGCGGACGTAGTCGAAGCGATGCTATACTGGCGAGACCTGCAACCAGGCAGCGTTTGGACGACAGGATGGCGGTCGTCCCGTTTCCTCCTGTTGCGAATTCGACAACCGTCACACATACTTCTTTCCCGAATCACCTGCGCACTCTCATTGCCGCAATTCCTGCTCTGCCCACGTTCTCCGGGGATCTGACGAAGTCTCCTTTTGCGCAATCCGCTGTGCTTCAATGCGCCCTCCGCTTTCATCGCCTCTCGGGTTGTTCGCGGCGATGTTGCCGACGCCGATTTCTGCAAGTGATTCCATCGATGGGGTTTCTCACCGTCGTCCAGACCCCGCGAATGTTGTTGTTCATGCCGCATTGGATGTGCCTCCGTCTACAGTTTCTCGGCCACCATTGTTCCAGTACTCGCCCCATGACATCGCCGGTGGAGTTCCTAGTGCGGGTGTCATTGCGTCGACCCCCGTTTATCGAGCAGAAAAGGTGCAACCTTTGGACGACACATTGAGGCCAACGTCCTGCACTCCTCTCTCCACGGACCATGCACCTGATGGGGTTTCGCCGTCTAATGATAGCGGAGCAGGGATAAGTTTCTCGCCTGCGTCGCCACGGGGCATGTCTAGTACACCTCGCCTGGGCAAGACTCATTGGGTGCGATGTAGACTCGATCAACAACTGCGCCTGAGTTCGATTGCAAGGGCGATGGGGAATAAGTTGTCGTCCCTTGCTCATAGCTCGGGAGACAATAAAAAAAAACATTGTTCTTATGAGAACGTGTTCGATCAGCTCCTTTAGTGGAGTGCTAGCCACGTTGATGAGCTTATGTCGACGTATGGCCCGAATGAGCAGTCGTCTGCCCATGGAGGTTCTTGCGGGCGGGGATCGGCGTCAACTGGCACTCCGCGATCGCGAGGTGGTAGACCTCGGAGTGATGCTTTGAGGTGGCGCGACGGCAAGCACAGATATCCGGATATTGGTCCGATGTTTGAAAGGTTGACTGTGAGGGACCACATGGCGATGTGGGATGCACCGGCAAGACCTGATGTCGTGTTTCTTGAACCGGTGAAACTTCTGCAGATTCTCGGCATGTTCGAGAAATTGTGTCCTCAGCATGCGAAAGAGGTGGAGGTGACGATCAAGAAAATACATTATCCTTGTCACATTTGTAAGTTGCAATTTGAGTGTGGGAAAGGGTGCACATGGCACTGGAGTTCCGCGAAGGTTGTCAAAGGTAGTGTGAGAGATTTGAGGGTGGATACTCAATTGTTCCACTCCACTGCGGCTGCAAGGATGACGCACACTCAACTGAACAACCTCTTGTTGGCCCTGGGGATGAAAAAGGTTAGGAAAGAAACATTCTACAATTTTTTCCGCGATGAAGGCAAAGGTCGGCGACAGTGGCTGCGGCACGTGGAACGAGTTACGCATAGGAGCTTCAATAGGGTCATAGCACGTTTGCGCAGATCTAACGATCCCATTGTCATCTTAGTCGACGGGCATTATGACTTGTCCTGTGACGCGAACATTGTACGATGTCGCGGCTGGACTTGAAGTCTGGGATGATCGTGGGTACAGAGACAATGCTGAGGGGGGGCGAGTCATCATGGCGGCTGAAAACACAGTGTGTGGAGAAGCTTCTTCATCGGTTGAAGGACGAAAAGAACCTGATAATCGTCGAGGTTGTGCATGACGATTGTGGTGCGGTTGACGTCATCCTACGACGAATGAACATTGACTCGCAGAAGTGTATGTGGCACAAAGCCAAGACTTTGGTGAAACGCTTGCGCGAGGCCGTGCGTGTCACGAAGACTGTCAAGCCATCTGTGGTGGGCGCTTGCGAACACGTGCACGAGGTGAAGTGTTTCACCAAGAAGGAACTCGAAGTTTGGCATAATACGAAGGGTGTGCGCGTGCCGGAGGTGGCTACGAAAAAGAAGGATGAGATCGTTGAAATAATATGGGGTATGTTCTTTCCCAACGAAGCAGGGAAACTGTTGCCAGATGACATCGTCGAGATTGACGCGTTGGAGGCCTTGCATTACAGTGCGGTGGAGGAGGCGAAGGAATGGTTGTACGGCGCTTGCAGGATGCATGAACGGGCGAGGGATGAAGACGACGATATGTTGGTCTCACATGTGCTACACCTGGCCAATCATTGGGCGGGAGATCACTCCCTCTGCGATAAAGAGTTGTCAAACATGTGCAAGGCGGCCGGCGGTTCGGAGAGAGAGACATTGTGCAAGGCGGTTGGCGGTTCGGAGAGAGAGTCATTGTACTTAGGCTTGGATCCCTGAATTAATTAAAGTTTGGACAAGATTTTCCCTATAAAAGAATGCTTTCAAAATTTCTACTAAACCAGATATAAACTTAGACAAAAAATTAAACTTTGAAAAATCAGATTTGACTAATTCGTTGGTTTTGTAGAAATTTTCGCCAGCTCCTCCTATAGAGAAAGTAGCTTTCTAAAATTTATATAAAGCCAAGTATAACAAATGATCCCAGAAAATGCAAGAATTGACCGAAGTACAAAAAAGTTAGTTCACAAAATGCACGAATTGAACTAAACTCAAATAGCTCTAGCATGTGGCGAATATCTAAAGCAACTACCTATCAAACCGAAACTCTGACTAGGTAACGCTCTCGCTCAACCACATGTAAGTCTAAACCACAGATGGTAAGTACTCTCACCAATCCCAAGGTTGAACTTTGTCAACAATAGTTCATAATCTTTCATATATATATATATATGTATATGTATATATATATATATATATATATATATATATATATATATATAGAGAGAGAGAGAGAGAGAGAGAGAGAGAGATACTTACCACAAAAAGTTGTTGATGCAGAGCGAGGTGTCAAACTACGTACTAGGCTGACAAGGGATTCAGCAATGCGCCTAGCCACCTTCTAGTGACAGTTTCATACTTATTTTCCTGGCACTGCTCTTGCGCACGTCATTTGTATCTTAGCGCTTTTGTTAAAAGATCAGCGCGGTGATCATCTTATGTGTACATGCATGATGTATCTATGTGTGTGAGTAAGTAAGAGATGGAGAGATGACTGCTTATCTGGCCGCGCAATGCTTGCAAGTTGCAACTAACGGGCGCTACAGCGCACGACACCAATGTGTGTATCTTCCCACGTTCTAACGAAAGATTCATTCTCATTTTGTACATTTAGTAAGTAAAGGTGCGAGACGCCTGATTGTGATTTCCTTGTTGATTCGAGGTTATCACTGGGGTGCTCATACGGCCATCGTACTCGTATAGCCCACAGTCGCCCATCAGGTCCGTGACTACTTTCATGCTTGACCATCTTATGTGTACTTCTTTTCCTGACACTTCTTTTGCGCCTGCCATTGGTATCTCAACGCTCCTGCTCAAATATCAGCGTGGTGAATATCTTATGTGTACATGTATCTATGTATGTGAGCAAGTAAGAGATGGAGAGATGACTGCTTATCTGGCCGAGCAATGCTTGCAAGTTGCAACTAACGGGCGCTGCAGCGGATGACACCAATGTGTGTATCTTCCCACGTTCTAACGGAAGATTCATTCTCATTTTGTACATTTAGTAAGTAACGGTGCGAGGCGTCTGATTGTGATTTCCTTGGTTATTCGAGGTTATCACTAGGGTGTTCATAGTGACAGTTAATTTCCTCGTATAGCCGACAGTCGCCCATCAGGTCCGTGACTACCGTCATGCTTGAAGCTAGCTGATCCTACCACACTTGGTTGAGGCAGCATGAATCTAACCGGAATGGTAGCTAGGTACGATGAGAAAATGGAGAAGGAGGGAATAAAACGGGGAGGGGATTTGGTGAATTTGGACTTAGGACCAGACTATATGCAAAGAAGGTAGGACTTCGGGCTAGTAGGGAAGGGCAAATTCCCGAACTCTGTTCTAGCAAAGTTTTATTTTGGTACAGGTAGCGGACACAACAACTGGCGACTTTAATAAAAAGCCTCTGGTCGTGTCCAGGTAGGAGATCCTTTCCTATTGGCCTTATAATGATCCTCATCCAGGCCCCAGTCGAGGGCTCGCCCTCAAGCAGGGCAAATGACATGCATAGCTACAACACATACAACAGTGCGCCTTAGTAAGGGAAGTCATAAGTGAGCATATACATATATATATATATATATATATAAGATGAATTGAAGATCGAGTTGTGGTGCCAAGCTGCTCATTGATGCAAGCAGGAGAACTTTGACGGTTCATATCCCCTACCATTAACTTGTACGGGGGCCATCATGTTTATCGCACACCCTCGACAAACTATGTAGGGACTGTGTTGGGCTGCTGCAAGTTGCATCGTCGACGCCTGGGAGCTGCTGTGAATTGCTTTGCTGTGCAATCTGGGTGATGATGCTGCGATTCATTGATCTCGCTGATTGTTTGGTTCTGAGGCTACTACTGCGGAAGATACTTTAACTTTAGTTGTTGCTCCACCAGAGTCCACCTCTACTACGAGTGTTGCTGCTGGTTTTGAGACCGACTATTGTGAGAAAGATGCAGTTGCAACGAGGCAAGTTTCTCTTTGGCTGTTGCTGTCGAAACCAACTATGAGACTGTGTTTTCGGGTATTTGCAAAATTGCCTATTGTTATATTGTTACTCTTAGTCTCTTTTCACTCGTGAGTTTCAAGTAGTTGCATGATTGTCGGTTCTCCCATTTACCGTAGTCATGCATGATCACTCTGAGTTGGTGGAGCAGTCTTATCTAGTTAAGGAACGAACCCTCAGACCACTTCCATAATTGTCGTCACTGCAGCTATTGAGTGATGGTTGCCTATTTTCGGACCAACCAGTGGACTTCAGATAGCTGGTTCTTATTTAGTTGCTGCTGATTATAAACACGACGCCCGCTACGTTTACTTAGAAGGTTGTTGCTGATAACTCAGATTTAGAATTGTTCTTGTCCCCCACGGGCTGCTGCAGGTTCGTGAGCGAGTGTTGTTGACTTCTCTTCTCAGAGAATTGTTGCTGGTAGACCTTGTCGTTTCAACAACGAGCGGCGTATGTAAAACTGGTGTCATTAATCCGTTGTCGAGCGCATCAGTTCCCGCATTTTTTGCAAAGGCGAGAGCCCTCCCGTCCATGTCACGCAGGAGTTTAACGAAACAAAACAAGAGACAACTTGAGAACGACACTTAACAACCCTGCGAACCGCCGAGACGGTTGCAGTAGCGTCGTTCTGTCGCCGCTCTAGCCGGGTGCGCCAACTGTATATACCGCGGTCCCCTACGACAGGATAGGTTTCCGCGGAGCATAAGCTTTCCTTCCCTAAGGGACTGTCACCACCCTTAGGGGTGTATCCCTGCCGAGCTACTGACCCATGTGCGAAAGCTTTTAGATGCAATTACAGAGGTAGGTCAACCGAGGGTGTTTGCTCGTTCGCTGTAGTATAGATACGCTTGGTTAACGCCAAGCGAACCCGGACGCCATCCGTTCCTAGGGCGCTGATCTCCTGGGTACGGAGCAAACGTCGGTCGACTAGGACGGTCTCAACCAAGCGTAAAACCCTCAATTTGATCCTAGTCCCTTAGACGCGCAATCACGTGAAAGTTACAACAACCATAAATATAATTATATCAAAAGGAGTCGACCGTAATCGACACGGATAAGTATTCAATCTGAAATGATAACTAAATAAAAGTGAATCATCATATGAAACATCCAATAATACAATATCAAAATAAACCCCGACCACCTCGGGTCGAACTCCACAAAACAATCATATAACCGCCAACGAAGAGTTGGTTTTTCGACAATAACATAGATGTCGCCGACAAGGTAATCGGCTGCCTTAGTTTTGACTTGATGAGGCGCGCTGCCAAAGTCGTTCATTCCACCTACCGCCGACTCAAAATTCGACACACATACCCATCTCCATACGTTTCTCAATCTTCTTGGATGACGGCTGTTTTGCGGATGATTCTTCATAAGGGGCATTGCTTGAGGTGTTGCATGCCTGTCCCTCTAGGAAGTGGTCTGGAGTACTCCTCCTCCTCGTCCGAGCACAGGTCTCGGATCTCAGAAGTCGGACCGTCTCCACTGAATAGGCAAACACCCCCCTGTAGAACGGTCCACTCTGGGTCAATAGCAGGGCCGACTCCTAAAGCAACAACCCCCGCCCCAGATGCTTCATAGAAATAAAGAATGTGTGCACTGCAAGTAACTTTCAATTATTGTCATTCCTCCTAAGTTCAGGGTAACTTAGACCAAAAGAATCAGAAGAGATAGAGAATGAGAACCATTTGGACAGGTATAGGTAGATTAGGCCATAAGGGATAGAATGAATCAATCCTAGGGAGAAGTTAAGTCCAATTGACCTCATCTTCAATATATTCACGAGTTTTCTTTCACGACGCCCATTGAAATTATCCATTTCAAAACACAAGTGCGTTTAATATACAGGCAGATGAAATATGGAAAGAGGACAATCCTTTTCTTCATCTCAAATAGGCATAACCAATCTTCTTTGTTGGCACCCTTCTACCTACCTGCACACCAAGCCAAGAAAACAAGTTCAAAAGAAAACAGTACCATCCCAAACTCAAGTTAGATTTTTTCATTCACATGCATGACTCGCACAACTTTCCTCTACCTTTTCTTTCGAACATTCAAACAAACAGGGTCAAGCAAAGTGCGGGTTCACACAGGTGTGAAAAGAAGTCTAAGTCATTCTACTAACTGACCTTGAGTGAAGTTTGATCCGGTCCACGCAAGAAAACCGAGTAATATATCAATTAGAAGAAAATAATCGCGTAGAAAAATATGCGGCTCACAACTCCACAAGTTGTGACCTCTGTCCTGAATCAAGGTCCGCGTCCTTCTCCAAGTGTCCGATCACACCAAGGCCGAGTTCACTGAGAGAATTCAAATGGGATAACCCTCCAGGAGGGTGCTCCCATCAATGAGTCTCCATGTGGTCCCCATGTCGTCCCACACCATCGCTGCAATACTAGGTGGTTTAGAACTCAAAACCGTTTGCACTGCGCGCCGCAAAAAAAACATAAAGGTAACCCTGGCTGAAAACCACATGTGCCACGAGCCCCCAAAAAATAACGATGTCCTTCCGGTGCAAACCGCAAATGCCACAGCTCCAATAACCACTGCCGTGAGCACTCACTCTATGCCCTCTTCATGTCGTCGGTCCGCGCACCGCTACCACACAGACCCAACCACACCAATGTCGACCCAACCTCTAGGCCATACTGGAATCCACCATAGTGGCCGCGCACCACAAAAATAATGGCGGACCACTGCTTGCTGCACCGTCAAAACTGGTACCATGGTTGTCCCGCAATACTGTTCCCAGACCACTGTGGCCTCCACTGTGACTCAAAAGACTCGCAGCATTTTCCCTCACAACAATGCGGCCGATGTACCGCCCACCGGACAGCATAACCTCAATGAAAATGTTGCTGCTGCCGCCAACTTCGGCAGCATGATCCCACCGCATACATTGTCATTGTCGCGCCGCTGATCGAGCA